CCCCAAAACCCCAAAACCCCGTTACTATTAAATTGACTCTTAAAATTTATAGAAACTTAATGTAAATATAGTTGGTTAATAATAGAGAAAAGTTTATAACAATTACACTCTTCTCGCTTAGAAATGATGCTCAATCTTCACCTTCTTCATTGGCATCTGCTTCTTGGACTTCATCAGGTACCTACTTATCAATTTTCTTAGCCATTTTTATAATTAAATGTCCTTGACTTTTGATTTCTTCCTAAATAGTTTCAATGACTATTTTCATCTCATCAAGTCTAGATGTAACTGGATCACTATCTTCATTGTTGTTCATTGATTCTAAATCAGTTACATTTACCAAATACTTTCCCTATATCGCATATGATTTCTTGAAGGAGTATGGAATTAAGTGCTAGTTTTCAGCAATCAAGCAAGCATATTCCTAGTAGCCAGCTTGTTCTTGATTATCTACCACTCTTTCGAAAGTACTTCCTATGATGGAAATAAGTAGATTAAGCATGACAATCATATTGAATAGCATATGGATAGTCCAGATAATCCAGATTAGTGGAGTAGCGACTTTGCCAATTGAGGTTATATCGAAATCTCCAAGAATAGCTCTGTAAGTATATGCAATTGAGAAAAAGAATAAATCTTTGGCTTCTGGAGTTGTTCCGTCTTCATTGGCATCTAAAGGTGGAGAGTGCTGAATAAATTAATTTTCTGGATTATTGGATAAAGATAATCTGAGAAGACAGTCGCCAAATGCAGTTAAGGTAATTAGCAATACTAACAAGAATATACCCATATCTGTGACGACTTCAACTATCAGTCTTATCAAGTAGCCTGTACTCTTAAAAATTCTTAAGAAATAAAGTAGTTTGATCCACATAAACAAGGTTGTGATTGCAAAGACACATCTTAGAAGAGTTTCATCTACATCTTTTCCAGAAAAATCTAAAAGTTATAAGATGACAGTAAATATAACTCCTGCTGGAGCAATAAAGTCTATATAATTCCAAACTGAAATAATGTACTCAATACCTTCTCTGAATAATTATCTGATTTCATTCATCAAGAAATAGGATGAAAATACCAGTAGAACAATGCAAATTGCTAGATTAGCTCTCTTAAAATCATCATCTTGATCTCTATGCTCATATATTACATTAGCATAAACTACGAACAAAGTGTGGAAGAGACAGAATGGAACGAATAGGAAACATAGAATAAACATTCTCACTAGTGGGTAGTTAAAGTCAATCATCTTTTGAATAGATTTTTAGTTGAAGTAATCAAGGTTTTCAGTAATAGCAAGTTAATCAAAGAAACTCTAGAAATCTGGATCCAAGTAGTGATAAACACCTGGAAGATCAATGAATTCACACTTTATTCTTGTTTCCATATTCTCTCTATCCATAATTTGTTTAAAGAAATCTTCCTCCTTGAACCACAGCTCTGAAGTTATAATACCACTAATATCTTTCTTCAATGTTCCCTTGCTAAATTTTTTAATCTGTTCAGTTTAAAGGAATCTCGTATCGATATAATCAATAAAACCTGGAAGTTGTTATTTAACAAATACCCCAAGTAAATCTTTAATGCCTCTTGAATGATGGTCAGAGGGATATAGCTTTAAATACTTCAAAATAGTATCAATGGATTTAAAGTCTTGTTTTTCAACACATCTGTGAATAGGAGTCTCGCCAAGTATATTTGGCAAGAATGGCATGTGATATCTAATTTAGTCATCTCGATGGGCCTCCTAAAAGATTCTCATCAACTACTTCTCTTTTGACCCTAATAGATGAAGCACTGTGTTACCTCCTGGTAATATGTTGTAGAGAAGCTATTCAATGACTGGATCTTCAAGATCTTTTACTTTTAACTTATTCTTTTGAATCTACTCTATGATACTCCAATGGAGGAATGTGAAACTATGTGAATTGTAATAGCAGTTTTCTCCATCAGTGGTATACATAGTTTCATAGAACTGCTAAAAGGACTTCTTTTTAAATAGGTAGTAGTCAGTTTTATACTCTTAATAGATCCTCTTCAGCCTCCTAAGAACATCATCTTTCTCTAGTGATTATCTTTAATAGTAATAGGGATTATACTTGTATTCTATATTACTATGTTCATCTAGGATCTCCTTAAACATTGGTCTCCAATTATAAGAGACCTCTTAAAAGTCTTGATCGATATCAAGAATCTTTTCGATTCCCTCTTCATTTATAATTAGTATAGTTGAATAGTCAAGCCACTTCATTCTGTTAACTAGTTCAGTAATATTTCCTCCTTTAGGTGACAGAAACAATATATCTTTTGGTATGTATCTAACTAGTGTATCATTTATAGCATCTTTAATTAGAAATTAGTTCGTTCTTCTATCAATTTTCATGTATCTACTAAAACAAGGTGAGAAGAATGTTAATATTTTAGCAGTGAGAGTATTCTCAAGCTCATCTGGATAGTCGACTATCTGCCTGATCAGCTCAAAATACACTTCATTTGATCCTGGCGTATCACTAGGATACTTTAAGATTTTATAGATGAAGGTTCTAAAGTTAATAATCTTGAGAATTAGTCGATCTTTATTTTCATTGATAAATATATTTGTTCCTTGATTAAAGTAAGGAAAAGTGAATTCCATTATAGTCTTTACCTCAGTCTCACTCTTAATCTCGATGATTTTCCATCTTTTATATACATGGTCGCATCTTTTCATGTATGTGGCTTGCTTATCAGCATAAGTAGCCAACTGCCAAGCATCGTAGAATTATTCATCTGCCATTGTGTTAACTGCTTAGTAACTGTAAAAACTACACAGATTTTTATAGTATTGTTAAACTCCATAGCCAGAGAGTTAATCAGCAAATTCTGTTTTCATATGAGTACAGATATGCTTTCCTGTTACTAGATTCCAAGTTGTTAGTTACCCTGTTTGAGTAAAGGTTATAATTCTATCATCTTATCTTTTTACCAGAATGTAATAATCATTTTCTGATGCTCCCATAAGTTTATTAGTATTTTGATGCAGAATTGGACAGATAATCAGTTACGACAAAGATTTTTAAAAGCACAGTCTACCAGTAGCTTTTGAATGCTCCAAACTTCTCTGAATACCGAAATCTATGTTCTTCAGTAATATAAGGTTGCACTTTCTTTTTTTTAGTGTGCTTTCCATATCTAAAAGTCTTAAGCCAGAGTTAAGATTCTCTGCTTTATCTTAACAAAGAACGTAACTGACCTACTTATTAAAGAACTGAACACTTATTGCAAAAATATTTGATATTATTCCGATTTGCTAAGCATCTTTGTCCATAAGGATAATGTAGAGATCTCTTTCATCAAATAAAAAGATGTGGTGCTTTATATCATAGGTAACGGCCGAATGAAGATTCCCACTAATGTAGGTATCTTTAAAAGTTTTGAATCTTTTGAGCGAACAAGAATAACTGTCAGATGAGGAACTTTTATATATCATAAATCCATAGGTGTTTTATAGAACAAAGTACTTGTCTGCTTAATCACCCACTGTCTAAACAGCTATTAAATTTCTATTACTGTGATATTTATCCCCTGCATTGACTTTTTACTCCTCTAAGGAATAATTCTTGTATTGATAAATTAAGTAATCATATGCCTCTTAAATCATGATTATGTAATTAGTTTCATTTTATTTGTCATGATTTACTCTAACTGGCTTTCCTGTTAAGGTTAGGGAGGCTGTCTCGAATGGATCTGTTCTTTCAAAGTCTTATATGACATCTTTATACCATTCTCCATTCTTGAGCATCACATCTATTGAGATATCTGATGACCAAGTTGAGTCTAATCTTGAAAGCACTTCAAAGATATCAGCATTTTTAAAGTACAAATGATTTACCCACTTTTGTTGTTCAATATTGTACAGTGATAAGAATTTTCCATGAGCTACAATAACGAATGTTTCATTTTTGCTAATAACTTTAAAGCTGGTGTATAACTTGACATATTAGTTAATAATCTTAAGATGTATATTGTCAAAATCGATTTCTTCATCAGTAGTCGGTTGACTCATAGAGTAAGAAATGTTGGATCGACCTTGATGCTTAAAATATTGGAACGTTCCATCATCCAGTTTGAAGTAGAATCCTCCAATGCTCATTCCGATATCCTTTACCTTGACTATAACAATTAAATTTAATAAAATACCTGAAGGAGAATCTCTTCGAGCCATATTCCAGTAGATATCTATCAATCCTGACTCTCTCAAAGATACGGCAAAATTAAAACCTTAGTAGAAAACATTGCATAACTTTATAATGCGATCTGGGGCATTATGGTTCTTTCTAGGGTTAACTATTCTATACTATTCCCATTTGTAGGTGAAATCTGGACTCTCAATATTGTATGCATAAAGCATGTTAAAGTCTATCTGATTGTCGGGGGTTTCAAAGGCAACTATGAGACAGTCATCACCAACTGAAAATTAATTGATTAGAATTCCATGAAGAGAACAACCAGGCTTGACTACTCTGATATCTTCTTTCTTAACTTCATTTCTTTCCTCTGTGTACTGGCTCAAACTGACGAATCTCACTTCTTTGTATGTAACTGCAAATAGTTTTTCATTCTTATAAGCAATATGCTTTACTAAATTGATGTAACGCTTATATTGAATTCTTACTATCATTTTCGATTCCGAAACCCTTGAAATATTTTTTGCTCATTGAGTAGCAATCCATTAAAATCATGCAGTCGTTGTCCTAGTCTTCTTTTTCATAGACCATCAAGAAGCTTTATTCGCAAATAGCCCAATTTTTTAGAGGATCTAATGGTTTTACTTTGAAGGTTGCAAAACTTACTTTTTAATGGTTACTCATAGACTTTTGACTTTTCAGCTGTATTCCATATTTGAAGTAGATATTTGCAGTTATCATAACTTTTTTTTATCACATCACTTTTGATTTAGAGTAGTATTGGAATAAAAGCAAACTCATCATTATTATAGCAAGTACTCTTTACTTCATAAATCTCTATACAAATGTAAGATTGTCTTTCAAATTACCATTGAGATCAATAAAGTAGGAGATCTCTTTGAAAAACTCATCAGGAGTGCACATTGGATCCTCTGGGTCTAAGCATCTTTATGAGAATGAGTCTGGATTCTCCATCTTTATACCCACTTTGCGAGTTTTCATCTTTTCTTGACGAACTTTATGTTAGATACCATGCCTTAGTTTTGCTTCTAGGTCAGATTACATTTCTGATGTTGATTGAATATCAAAGATTTAAATTAAATTATTTGTATGGAGCGCTCAATAATAGTTAACACTCAATTATTTATACTCTTTCTCTGCCATAATCTAAATAACTATGTAGATAGATGATGCAAGGGGTTTTGGGGTTTTGGGGTTTTGGGGTTTTGATACTACATGTTTTC